TGCTCAGTTATGGCTGCTGTTGAACACCCTGAGCTTGCTGGGTTCACAGGCTCTGCTGGTGAAGGAAACACAAGGCCAGGTAAAAAGTGATCCAGCCTGGGTCTTCCATCTGTCAGCAGAGACCTGGTTCTTCTGCAGTGCCTCAGGGTTGCTGCCTGTGAGGCCTCTTCACTCTCACCTACCCCAGGATGCACACCACTGCTCAGAGCCCCCTTACCTCCAAGAGCTCCTGCTTGGCCACCTGCTCACTCAGCATTTGGGTGTAGGAGTCACAGATATCCGTCACTTGCACGAAGCCAGTGAGTCCATTGGGTAAGCTGACCACTAGCTCGAAGCTGTTGGCCTCCTTCACGCAGCCAAGCAACAGCACCCCTTCACTCAGGGTCTGGAAGAGAAGAGAAAGCAGCACTCTGGACCCCTTCATTAGTCAGATATGAGAAAGCACCATATACAGGTCTCTGTCCTGAGCACGGACTTCACATATTTAAGCAAAAAAGAGCTTACAGCTCCTAGCAAGATCACAGCATTTTCCATCAGCGCAACTCCACACCCTTCATAGCAGAGACTAGTATTAGCGCTGAGAGCTTAAGACAAAAAGATGCAGGGAGGTAAAGGGACCTGCCCAAGGCAATTCAGCAGGCCAGTGGTGGAGCTGGCTGGAGAACCCAGTTACCCTGGACCCCAGTCCCATGCTCCCTCCCCTGGGCCATGCTTAAAGCCAAAGCAAACTCCCCACGGGAACCTGCATCACAAAGCACCCCCAGCACTTCTGCCAATACTCAGCCATTTCCAAAGCCACTGCTGGCACAATACAGACCTGGGCTGCACCATAAAATTCTGCCAGCAAAGCTACGATAGTGAGAGATGCATAATGACAACTCTTTTGGCAAAAAGCCCTGGCAAACTGAACTCTGCAGACAGGACGATGCTTTTGTCAGGTCTGCTCGTGCCATTTCAGGGACATGATGTAGCCAAGCCAGCAGGAAAAGCCCTTCTGTTAGCATACGCTGCAGCCTCACACAAGAGAGGTCTGCTGGCCAGCTATGGGGCAGAGGCTCCAAAACCCAGTTGATCCAGAGTCAGAAGCAGCCCTCTCAGAAGGTCTCTACAAACAGCATAAAGCAGGGCACTTGGGGCTACCTGATGACAGCAGTAAAATGTGTGCTCCTGTCAGGGCTAGGGGCTGGGCAGGAAGAAATGCCTCCCTGTCATATGAGGCAGGAATGACTGACAGGGACATCAGCTTCCCAAGCTAGGTGAAGCCAGCTGCTACCTGAAGGTGGTGCCTCACTCCGGCAGTGGGGTATCTTACAGCACGTTCCATCCAAGGATTCAAATGCAGCCCAGAACCAAACCAAAGCTCTCTCTAGACTGGCGTCCTGTCCACCACTGGCCAAGACCAGTTATTTCAGGGAACGGTGTAAGAACCACAGGCAAAAAACTGGGAAGTGTGTAAGAACCAGAGACAAGAAACTGGAAAATCCATTCCTCAGACCTCACCCTGGTCTCAACCTGCTGACTTAAGCCCTGATGCACAAAGTGCAATATCCCTCTGCCACCATTAACTGTGAGAACTCTGGCCATGATGGCCACCCACACTGACATCTAATCATGTTACAACCCTGGCCCAATGCCTTCTTGTGGCCAAATTCCATAATTTAATCATGTCATATGACAAAATTTGCTTCTAGCTTCTCCACCCCCATCTTTTTAATTGCACTGAATGGTTCATGACCAGAGTCGGAAACAGACTCCCAGCGGGAGTGGTGCAGGCACCTACCCTAGAGATC